ACCACTCAAATCATGAACAACCCATAACAACAACAACAACAACAACAACAACATTGGCAGCTTAACGCCCACCAATTATATTTACAAACCCATTTTTAATTATAATTGAACAACGTCTCTCAAAAAAAAGTTAGCATTAAACTGAACAAGCAAAAGTGATCTAGTCGGGCATGCACGACTGCCACATACCCTGGCCATAGCCTGGCTATACATGCGTGTAGTGAACGACTATGTGTTTGTATGACAGCTCGACTGATCCGAGATCTATCGATAATGTGTCACTTTATTAGCCACGCCTACTTTTGCCTTTTACATAGAACCTTTCAAGCCCATATCAAAGGGTATCTCAGTTTCTGAGCAATTGGAAACCGCAATCAGTTTCCCAGCAAATGAAGCGAGTCCAATCAGGAGGGCGGCTGCTGCGAGGGGGGCTGGGAGAGCAGGTGGGCAGGGCTGTGTGACGGGGGGTGGCTGCTGATAGTTTGATGAATAACTTGCGGCAGCGAGTGCCTTGAGCACAGCTCCACGTTGAACTTGCACTTTGCATAATTGCAAATTTGTTTTTCTCAGTTTTCGCAGTTTTTCTTTGCAGTTCTCGCAGTTTGAGTTTTTCCCTTCTTTTGCTTTTCAAGAAGTTTCACACAATTATCCATTTATGTGGGCATAAAATTCTTGTGCGAATAACAAAAAGAAAGAACAACTAACATTAGTCAGAGTCAAAAGTCTCACACACTTGGACTTGGCCCTGGGGCTGAGGTTTGGGCTTGGGCTTGGGCTGGGTGAATGCAACTGCTGCACTGAGCGAAAAACTTGGGCAGCTTAGGCAAGTTAATTTGTCAATATATCAAGTACTATACGCAATTCTATATATAGCAATTCAACAATTCTGACAACTGGATCGCTATGGATTCTCCCACATTATTTTATATATCAAATAAATAGTTTTTTTTTTTTTTTTTTAAAGCTCTGAGCGGGTATTGCTGCAGTCGGTAATGACTATTTTATATATGTTTATTTTAATTACTTATAAGAATTTTTGGATTTTCGGTATTTCCATAATTTATAGACTTCATACACGCTATTTTCTCGCAGTGTAATCCTACTGCAACTAAAACTGCATTAGCTACAGCTATAAAAACTGCAATTCTCGAAAATTAAATCAATTTTCGTAATTTTTTGTTGTTAATATTTCATAAAATTCACATAAATTTGATGACTCACAGAGTCTTCTCTTCTTCTTCTTCCTCAATTGTATTAATGCACTGAGAAAAAAGTGAATCACTAGATTTTACTTAAGTATTTTACCTCATGGTATTAAATCAGCTTCATTTACAGGGTATCTGCTCTGCTGTACACCCGACTAGTGCATCGGAAACATTAAAGCTAAAATTGTTTCAATTGCAAATAATAGAAGACTCTGAAAGCATAAATGGTTGGCGAATTTCAATGGATCGTTATAGTAAAGAGAACAATGACTAAGTCTGACTTTCGCCCTGACTCTGACTCTGACTCTGGCTGGGGCTCTATCTATGTAGGGTTAAGAGCTAGATGACATTTTCATAAATCTTTTCGCGGTTCAGTGTAAGCTGTGAGAAGAGTGCGAGCATCAATTGTAATGGCATTGTCTTGACAGCGATCGAATGCCGATCATAATTCACAGATCAAAGCGATCTGACAATGGGCAGCTGCGAATATACAAATGTATGCTATACATATGGAGATGAACATTGTAAATGGGCAAATATGGTATGATGCTTTATACATTTACATGATCCCCTTATCGATCCCATAACATATAGACATGCATAGACATGCATATGTAAGGATATGTATAGACATAGAGAGCATGTGATCGATAAGGATATCTATAAGAAGTCTCAACCGTGTCTATAACAAGCTACGAATCTTTCAACATTTCGATAAGCGATTCTCCAGCTCGATCACATGATGATCCCTCTGCGAAAACGAAAGCTTCTCGAGCTCTTATCAAGCAAAGCTATCGATAAACATCCAAGCAAATCAAGCTATATTCAAGCACGAAGCATTTCAGAATCGAAAACTCTTTCGAGTTCGTACTTAGGAAAGCTACCGAAATAATTCAAAATTTGAGCACGAATAGGATAAGGCTCGAAATGTGTTCAAGTTGTATTTGAAATACCTATGGCTCATCCAGCTACTAATCATATATTTTCGTACATTTTGTAGCCTTGAGTCGAATCTCGAGTGGGGCTGTTATTTGCACTACGATTTATGCATAAATGAAAACACAATTTACAATTGGAATGCTGTAAAAAACATATACATATATGTACACACACACATACATATGCAGATGTGCACCTGCATATACATACATACATATACCGCTTGGGCATATATATATACATACGCATATGTGTGAATATATACATACATACATATATCAGTTTTATTTAGTCTTCTTTCTTTCATTCTCTTAGCAATCTGCGCGCCGTTGTCCTGCGAATGGCACAATTTATTA